CTTGGTGAGCACTTCCGCCAGCTCCCTCAGTACCCTTGGGTGGATCCCATCCAGCCCCATAGACTTGTGTGTGTCTAAGTGGTGTAGCAGGTTGCTAACTATTTCCCCTTGGATTATGGGGGCTTCATTCTGCTCCCCGTCCCTGTCTTCCAGCTCAGGGGGCTGGGTACCCAGACGGCAACTGGTCTTACTATTAAAGACTGAGACAAAGAAGGCATTAAGTACCTCAGCCTTTTCCTCATCCTTTGTCACTATGTTTGCCCCCACATCCAATAAAGGATGGAGATTCTACTTAGCCCTCCTTTTGTTGCTGATTTATTTACAGAAACATTTTTTGTCTTTTATGGCAGTAGAGAAACATGCATAATCAGGAACATGCATAATCCATGTATTTTTTGTACAAAAACATGGTGTTATATGTTGTAGTTTTAAGAAAAATATTAAAATATTTGGCACTGCTTTCAAAGCACTTTTAGTTATGAGACTACACCAGACCCTTTTAACCTGGGTTTCTAAAGCTGTATCAAAGGCAAATGAAAGTACGGATGCTACACATAGCTGAAATTCAGGTCAAATCTTAATGTGTTGGATGTGGTCTTCAGCCCCTCTTTTCAGATCCTCAAATTCAAGCTTTTTATTGATGACTGAATTATGAGTCCTATCCCTATTATTACAAATAGTTGTTTTCTCATTGACTTCAGTAGGAAAAAAGACAACTTAGATGTGATTTCATCTCACTTAGAGGCTCCAGCAGGAAAATCTGCTACCTGAAATATGCCAAATATTTCATTTCTAGTCTTTTACAGGTGATTTGTCTGAGAACATGTTATCAATCCCTAGACAGATCTACCTCGCTTCAAATACTAGTGTATTTTCAACTGTTTTGAGGTTTAGGAACCCTACTTTACGCACACACTGTATGTGATAACATGTATGTGATATACATAGCATGTATGCAGAGCACATACTTTCTTTTTCATATACAGTTTTGTCTTTTAACAGTTTTCAGATAAAAGCAGAAGAATAAAGTGAACCAGATGCTGACAGTGTGCATGACCAGCTCCCTAAACATCTGATTATTAAGAATGTCTCTCCACGCTACTTACAAACCTTTCCTCATTAACTCTGTAAGTCAGCCTGATGCTTCCTATAAGCAGAGGTAGTTATGCATTTTCTACCAGCATCCGTTTACTTGTGAGAACTCCTGAACAAAGAAAACACATATAATTGTAGGGCTAGAGGGTTACAAGGTGGCTCACATTTGATTACTTGCTATATTTTCCTCTATTTTCCTTGCTAATGCTATGATTTGCATCTCAGCATCCAACTACATGCCCATTATAGGGAGAAAACAAGCCACCCTTTTCCTAATTAACCAGTAGTCCTATAAACCTTCAGAGGCTGGTATTAATTTAGTACTTTAGAGGCATACAGATTAATCAGTAGCCAAGACAAGAATAGAAGAGCCCAGCCCATGCAAAACTAGAAGTAAATAATTGGGCAATGCTTTTTGTATCACCTGATGCTTCAAAACATTTGATGATAGGATGTCTCAAAGATGCCCACAAACTTTGACAGAGAAGATTGTTAAGGAATTATGCTAGGAGGCAGCACTGTGTCCATACCGGACTCTCCTCATACTGCAGTGAATCCAGATTGTCCTAAGAAATCCTTATAAATGGGAATTTGGTTTTCTGGAAACCTGTACAAGTCAACAATGACAAGTTCTGATAGCTCAAGCCTATGATAAGCATTTCCTCTTGTGAAGCGAGAATCATCTTGCATGCCTGCCAACAGTCCATCATCTAATTAATTACTGTCAGTGTTGAGTCACACTAAACAAGAATTGGTAACACTCCTAAGCACAATCAGCTAACAGGAATCCAACTGTGTCAGCAGCACCACTGCATCTCCTTTATTCTTCAGATGACTAATTATTAACATCTATCATTCTCTTCTTCAGTAACATATTCCATAAAGACCCACAAGATTCAGTTAAATACCTAGGATTCAGTCATCCTAGGTAGATTGTTTAAACTGCATCTCAATATCCTGCAGGTATGGTGGTTCCCCTCTTCTGAAGTTTACAAACACAAATTCATTATTCCTTGTGAAAGAAGAGGCAGAAACCTTTCAAAATCTCAATTAAAAACTCAATATGCAACTACCCTAAAGATTGTCTCAGAAATCTCTTTGATGACTTTTGATCACCTTCCTTTTTATTTTCTCATCTATACATGATTTTACTGAAGAGCAGGGTTTAAAGGGGTTCTGCCCCTGCATAACTCTGTTCAACAAGTTCTTCACAAAAAACCTCCCTTGAAATTCAGAACTATTACTTAAAAGCCTTAGAAAAATAGTATCTTACTGTAATTCCAAATAAGTTCTAACTTCAGTCAAAATTAAACAAGAAAAATAAAATTGTTCCTTTTATTCCTGTTAGAGATGTCTTCAGTAAAACACAAACTCCTTTTTCCTATAATAGCAAATGTACCCCAACTCCAAGTTAGCAATTTTGCAAGCTGACTCACATCCACCGTCGTACATGGTTTTAGTGGCAGCAATCATTTCCAGCAGTGTATCTTTTAACCGCAGTTACGACCAAAGACAGAACACTTGCCAGAATCAAAAGTTGTCTTCAGAGAGGTTGGACTAACACCAGCCAGCCACCACTGCAGCTATGCTCACTCACAGCAGTTTCATCAACTGTAGTATCAACTGCCCACCAAAACTCTGAACAGAGCATTAGTGGTGTGACACGAAGATGCTAACTTCAGAAGACTTTCCCTAATGTTTGTCTTTTGTTGCTACACGTTGCTCATCTGTGTGGCACTGCTCTTCCCCGGTCCTGACAGGTTGTGTCACCACTTTGAGAAGAGAGCCCTTCCCCTTATTTTCTCATTATACAGCTCCTGCCAGTTCATTGACATGTTTTCCTATCGTGTCAGGATTTCCTCTCACCTTTGGGCAAAGGGCTAGGCCATTACCTAGTTTTTCCAAATGGAAGAACATTTCCCATACGTATGTCACTTTCAAAAGCCAAGTTCACTTTGATGACACTCATGTTTCCCCTTCAGAGAGACCCTTTCTGAAGCAAATTCCAGATTACTTATTAACTTCCCTCTAACCCCCACCCGGTCAACTGCACTGCGTGTGGGATATTCCTTGTTCACTCTGTCTTTATCGACATCAACTGGCAGGACAACAGGCAATGTCACACTAAGTCAGACGTCACTGCTGTCCTATTGGGAGGGCTTATCTGTCAACGCAACATGACCTTCAGACCAATTTCCAGTCACTTCTAAACACCAGACAACCTCCTCTTCTGCTGCTAAGCACCTCTTTGTGCTTTGCAGCTTCACTGACTCTTCTAAGACAAACCATTGCCCTTCCACATAAACTTCCGAATTTCTTGTTTTTTATTAGTTGCAGTTGAATGAAAGAACCAGTACGTTTAATCACAAAAATAGTGGTTTAGCTTATAAACAACGTGTTTACAGAGTGGCTGGAGAAAGGAGATGGGTTGTTTGGGTCATCAGTCTTAGTCTTTTATGACTGCAAACTACTGTGTAATAAGCAACCCCAGAAGGAAACAGAATACCACCCGAACATTTAGTAAACTTTAGACTTTGTCTCAGTGAAAAGCCACAAAAGTCACAATGCATCATGGGAACAGAGAAGACCAGTAGAATGTTTTTCAATATTTTACTGCTAGTGTTTATCACAAAACACTTAGCAAAAATCTACCTATGCAAAAGATCTACATAGGACAGAAAAATGAAAATAATCTTAGGGAATCAAATTCTTCAACAGCAGAAGGGCAGCATGGAAAAGGAACAACAACAAAAAAGAAGAAACCAAGCAGATTACTAGTCCTTAGAAATCATTACAAAAGCATGTTTTAGATATTAAGATACAAACTTACAAATAGTTTAGAAAAGGTAAAATGGTGTTTCAAAGACAAATCCAAATAAATAAAGATAATAAAAGAAAAAGCTTATTCTTAAGGCCTTATGTGTAGTGACAAACACCTACACAGTTAAGAAAAAACAGTAAGAGCTCACTGTTCCATGAGTGATTACAAGAATTTTGCTGTTGCCCATTGCTGTCAATACTAAATAATAAAGTTGTCCTTTAAATCAGAACAGTTTCTAGGCTATTGACTGCTGAATGTCTTAGTACTCCACATCTTGGTAACTAGATTTTCTTTAAAGTTAAGGTCAACTACAGCAGCCACAGGGTGGCTATCTCTACCCAAAGGATAAAGTTTCAGTATTTCCCCCATTGGGGAGAGGGGGCAAGAAAAATCCCAGAGCTGAAGTCCCTCACAATTCATTTGCAGAAGGCAGTTTGGGAATCAAATTTTACCACGCCCACTACTGCAAATCAGGTAGAACACCAAAGCAGATGTGTAGCTGTTATGTGGTTAGTAAAAATGGCATAGTATATTGTCATACGTTAAACCATTTAATTACTAGGAAGTACTTCTTCAGCTTTATTTATAGAGGTAGCAGACAATACAGAAGAAATCAAACCATCCTGAATCCCGTAAAAGATAGCTACTGCAAATTCAGTTAAGTTCTTCCAAGAACTTAATCTACGTGGAAATAACCCCTAGAAAGAACTGAAAATCAGGAAGAGAGTAACTATATAAGCATCACTATGCTACACAAGTTTTTTCATATCAGAGCAAACTACATTAGATCTGCAGTCAAAGGAAAAGAAAGTGTGAGATCTGTTATGAGAAATTCTAAAAAGTTCTCAGTTTTTTTCTTTTCAAAACATTGGGAGTAACAAGGTCACAAACTTGTAATGCATACTTATACGTGGTAAATAAGCATTAACTGCTCATGAACTTGTGCTCGTGATGGCATTTAGGCCCTCTTTTTTTTGCACAGAAAAGAAACAACAGACATAAGGGTAATGACCACTTGGTATTTTGACCCTGTTTGGAAACTCATTGACAGAAGACGCACGTTCTTCCTTCAGCAAACTATTACAGCTGGTTTAGCTCCTCCTTTTTATGACAAGACTCTGTATTTATTCTAGACTTTCATGTAGCTTTCCAAGTGACAATACAACAGCTGCATAATATTGAATTTAGAACAATTACACAAAGAGGCTTTGCTCCAGATAAACAGGAAGTTGTTACATGTATGCAAGAAACAACTATGCTTAAAGATTCAATTTCTGAATCTTTTCACAAGAAATTCTGCTCTTAATACAAAAAAATACTTATTTATACAAAACCCCCAACAAGTGTCATAATACACAGTGCCAACATTTATATGCAAGGACCTTAGTTGTCAAATCAGGTTTTCAGAGCAGTTTAAGGCAAACGTTGGTTTACCACTTTTGACTGCATATAGTCTCCCATCTAAACTCAACCTTTTAGATCTGTCCTTTCAAAATTCATACTTTTAAATCGTTCCTCAAGCACATCAGAGTCTTCATCACTGTCTGTACTGCTGAAGTTTGTATCAAAATCCAGCTCATCCTTCAACCCACTGCTCTCTTGGCCATTTTTAATAGTCACACTCTCAGTTCTGTCTTGTCCTTTATCAATCCTGCAGAAAGCAAGAAGATGTTATCACCACCCACTTTTGGAATATATTTTTCTTTTACACAAGAATGGGATGAAGGGTAGAATATTCTACCAGGGATGGAAGGGGGCAGGAGGTGGGGAGGAGGAGGAGAGGGACCATAACCTAAAGTTACTTTCATGTTGAATAGGAAAGATATAGAAGACAGGAAAGGAAAAAGAGTCTGTGAAGGAAAAAAAAAAAATATATATATGAACAGTTTGACCAACTAAGCAACTGCTGGCCAGTTGTCACAAACTAGTAAATTAATACAGGATGCTCAATAAAGAGAGAACTCTAGTAAAAGAATAAGAAAACCAAAAGCCTGCTAAACATATTGTGGTAACTGTGCTCAGCATCAGCCCTTGTTTAGCTTTTCTGTTCATTAGTAACTGAATCATCAAATGACAGACAAAATGCAAATAGTAAATTGGCTTATACATGTTTTATGGTGCTCTACACTGAAATACATTTTGATGTGCTTTGTTCCCAAGGAAGATATGCAATTTATCCTTTGGTATTAAAATAAAGTGTCTTACCCAAGTAAGGCTTTTTTTGGCCCAGCCCTACTAACATCAATAGGCATTTCAGCCCTAGTTTCAGCAGAAGAAAGTGAGGGCAATGGCTCCTACTGATTCCTGTCAGGATTATTCAGAATAAAGTACAACAGCTTCTTGGCAATTTCCAAACAAGCTTTATTAAAAGGGGAAGAAACAGTGCAGTACTGAAAATATGTAACCTATGAGCTACTTACGGAATTACTATTTCTTCTTCTTTTCCACATTTGGCACAAACTTCTAGTTTACCAGCACATGGTCGACAAATAATATGGTAAGGATCTTTTACAGTCTTCTGGAGGCACTTCACACTGTGAAGAGAAAGAAAACATGATTAAAAAAATGTTTGTGGACACTTATTAAACATTCCGTGTTCAAAGACAATATAGACATACTCTTCAAAAGAGGAACAACATGTTATAGGCCACTTTCATATGAAACAATCGGTGTGTTAACAAGCAGCACTATCAAAATCATTGCCTGTCTTCCCTCTCCTTTAACTTTTTCAGTAAGAATTATTAAAAGAACTGAAGAAGAAACAAAAAAATTAAGAATTTTTATATTTAAAGTGACAAAAGAAACCTTTTGATTCATTTCAGTAGGTAGTTTTACTTCAAAAGCTACGTAACTTCTTCTGGTTTAACGATAAAAGAAAATAGGAATATGGTATAAAAAGGTGCATGCATTTTACAAATAAAAAGCTTTCAATTCAAACACTACAATGTCTTCCTCTTGAACTTCTCAGAGTATAAACAAAACCAGTGTTGGACTTTGCTTTCTATGAACACAAGCCTTCACGGAACAGTATTCTGAACAAACCCAACCTAATTATGTAGAGGTTTTTGGCTATTCTTTTTCAAGATGTGATAAAACTCTGTAGATTAAGTAATTTCTAAAAGGCTATGGCTTAACATTCAGCTGACATTTCTAAAGCATCGTATTTTTTGAGAACAGAACCCAGAACTATATATCCCATGTAATGCAGCTGTCCTAAATGTCACTCTTTCTTGGTTCCTCAGGCACTCAAAAGTCTGTCAGGAAAGATTTAGCATACAGTTCTGAACAGTGGATTTGCAGACTCGGCTAAAACAGGCTGAAGAAAAATATCAAGTGTTTTTGCATTCCTTATAAGGAGAGATGCACTAACTAGCATCTCGTAAAACAGAATTTTTACTTGCTTTCTCAAATCCCATTCTTAAGCACTATCGCCTTCTCCCTACTATGTCCATCTAGGCTCTGCTGAGCTTCTGTTATTAAGATGTGCATATCCAATCCCATAAGAAGCTGTAAAATCACAAGAATTGCTAACAGGACACATTTGACAAAAGCAAAGTCTGAACTGCCTAGTGATTCTGGTCTCCTCTTCCCCCAGAAAAAACATACAGTTAGATGTCACTGGAAATACCTACTTAGTTTGGTTTGGGTTTTTTTTTTTTTTCTCTTCTATGGTCAGTTGCATTAGTATTAAAAAAATGTCTACAGCTCTTCCCAGCCATGTCACACCAAACAGGGGCACTAGCAAAGCAAGGTTGATAGATTTTTTTTTTTTAAATAGTTCAATCTGTAATACTTAAATACTTGAAATAAAAGTAAAGTAGGGATAACTTGTGCTTGTACTAACAATCATAATTTTGAAGATGTTAAAAAACTAAAAATAAGTTGAGGTATGGAGAAGACCTCCACTCCCATCGTCTGTGACATAAAGAACTCATTTTTTTCCATATAGTCACATTTTTAATGTCTATAATGTGTTTACTTCACCTAGAAACTTCACCCATTGAAAATATTCATAGTCTTGTCCTTTCAGAACAGCGGCCCACTCAGCCATTGTACTGCTGCAGGCTGGGCTAGAAACCACCACCGGTAGAGCTAGAACAGTCTGCAGCCCAATTTACTTGTTCAAAAATATGAAGGAAAACATCACATTTTCTGTCATAAGCAGCTGTCCCACAACGCCACTTTTTCTATTTCCAATGCTTCTCTGATTTACATGCTTTTTTGCCTGCTTCTTTTCCTTTGGGGGTAGGCAGAGAAGGGGCAAAAGAACCAGATCCACCACCACATGATTTGTTACAGCTCATTACTTTTAAACAGGATGCACACAGTCATTTGAGAAAGAGTTAAAAAAAGACAAATCCCAACTTCATCCGTGGTGAATAGAACCCAGAATGTTTCCTTTGAGAACCAGTGAGACTTCTACCTAATCAAATCTTTTTTTTTTACAGGAAAGGGTGAAATTATTTACTAAAACCACAATATTTGTTGCATATGGTTTCATATTAAAAAATTAAAACTTCTCACAAGTGAGGGATATAGTATGAACAAACATTCCTTCCCTTTTAACCTACTGAAAATCAAAATAAAATACACTGTTATTCAGGGAACTGCACGCATACATTTACAGAACCTCTTCAAGCAGTTCATAAGTATTTTGGAAGTATGTAAATGAGAACAACACACAAACGCAGAGCGAACTACTGTGACAAAGGTGGCTGTATCATACACCACAGCCCAGCTGTAGTTTCTCTGAGTTCAGCATTTCATTGTTGAAACACTGGCTGTGTCTGCAGCCACAGAGGTAAGGACCTCTGCAGCTGAGCAAGTAAGAAGGAAGCAGAGAGTATCCACTTCAGAAAATTAACCTATCACAAACCTATAAATTATTTTAAGATATTTATCGCCTTTGTTATGTACTTATCCAAAAACACCTAATACAGAATGCTAAACATTTAATATTTACGATTATAGTTTCATATACAAAAAGAGAGAACATGCTAAGAGGTAATGAAATGCATGCATTGCAAACAATTTGTAGAAATTGAGGCCTCAGTAATGCTGAGAACAGTGTTGCTGATGAGTTTTGATATGACACAAAATTAAAGCCTTCCTCTCCTCGTTTCTCTACTAGATAGTCTTTGTGAACTACAAAAGTTTAGACACGTGCAGATTCCTCTAGTATTGACTTGCAACAAGGCCTTGGAAAATTATGTTACAACTGGTTCAGGTTCGACTTTTTGTTCAGGAGGACACACTGACGGTTTTGGAAACTTACAGGTCCACGGTTCAAGCATTTTAACAGCAAAGAGGGATGCAGTTGCTTTTCCACTGTGTTGTCTTTTCAAAAGTTTAAGATAAAAGACTAATGAATTAGAAAATTGACATTGCATATATATGTCATTGCAGACTCCAAATTTGAAGAATGTCACATAGTAGCGGTTACTGCTTGTGAGTTTCCAAAACTAGAATGTTTTCCAAAAAGTTCAAAAACTACACTATCAGTAATTAACACAAAGTATCTTAACTCACCATTTTTTAGGTTTTGATAGTAGTTTGTACTTGCTGAATTTTACCCGCCACTCCAAGATGCCTTTGCAATGCTGACACACTCCATCATGAAGCTTAGCATTTATTTTCTGAATAAATAAATAAAAATGAAATTAAGAATACATTGAAGATTTACTACTTTTATGAGTATAAGCTTGCTTAGAAAGCATTTCCACCCATCATGTGATTAATACCGTATTTAGAAAGATGTTTGTTTGGTATTAACATAAGCATTTCATATACATTTACTTCTAGT